TTTCCGTGATTCCGCCGTTCCCGCTTTCAGCAGCTAAGGCAACTGAAATACGTTTCTCATTTCCAATCACAACCTGTATACAAACCAGAACAAAAAAAGCAGTTTGGGGGGGAGGGGGGGTGGGGCTCTATTGAACGTTGCAGTTTCGGTCAGAAAAACGCAAGGCAAGACAGCTGCCGCAATCGGTCTTCATCCTGTGCTTTACGCTGAACGTCGCAGGCCCACATACAAAATAAAAGCCTCGCAAATGCCATTGTTGGTTGGCCTTTTAATTTGGAAGTTGGCCCTCGGCACCCCATGCTGTCCGAAGGACGACCTCGATTGGCTTCCCGTCGCTTTGGCCAAACGCAAGGCAAGACAGCTGCCGCAATCGGTCTTCATCCTGTGCTTTACGCTGAACGTCGCAGGCCCACATACAAAATAAAAGCCTCGCAAATGCCATTGTTGGTTGGCCTTTTAATTTGGAAGTTGGCCCTCGGCACCCCATGCTGTCCGAAGGACGACCTCGATTGGCTTCCCGTCGCTTTGGCCATCAATGCCAGAAGCGTCTGAGGAGGTGCGCTACATGCTAAGTGCGCTTGCATCACACGCACATGACGTCTGTACCCAGGTCATTCCGCTCACGTGGTCCGAAACCTTTCCAACGTGCACATCTTTGCAAATCCGAGTTATTATACGCACGAGAAAAAAAATCGCCCTATTTTCAAATGCACACACAACAAAGACAAGAACTTTTCACTTCTGCCAAGGAAAAAAAAAAAAAATCACAATGCAAAAAAAGGTGCTGCGTATCCGAAACTCAAACTATCCGAAAATCCACCAAATGTGTTATCTCCTCTCAGCGATTTCCACGAAAGCACCAATGAAGCGATAACAGCTAACCTGTGATCAAATCAATCACCGATTAATTTAATCTAAAATCGCACATCATCACATTCCTCAGCAGCTATTTGATGATCACATTCACTGACGGCTATTTTAATGGAGAGAGAGAGAGAGAGATAGAGTGAGGCCAGTCCTATTGCTGAGCGGGGCCTTTCGTGGTGGCCCCCCGCCAGGGAAGGCTTTAAAAGGGAGGGCGGCGCCCGGCTCCTCTCACTCACCCTCACCAGCAGCAAAGAGCACCGCCGGCAGGTGAGTCCTTCGCCCAGTTGCATCCCCACATTTGAACATTTGCACTCATCCAACCATACAGCCGTTACAGTGTGACCATGGTTTGAAGTTTGTGTGTAACTTCTGACTATTTTAACATGTATTTACTACATTGTAGCACATGCTGATGTGGCGATAACCATATTATATTTAATAGAGTCTCACGTCAAATAACGTGAAATATTGACATGTAATAACCATGTAATACCACATTTTCACATGTAATAATCACATAATACCATACAGCCGTTACAGTGTGACCATGGTTTGAAGTTTGTGTGTAACTTCTGACTATTTTAACATGTATTTACTACATTGTAGCACATGCTGATGTGGCGATAACCATATTATATTTAATAGAGTCTCACGTCAAATAACGTGAAATATTGACATGTAATAACCATGTAATACCACATTTTCACATGTAATAATCACATAATAACCATGTGTGTAACATTTAATCGTCAGAACATGGATGCCCATGTCATAACATGTAGCGCCATTACAAATGATGTAAACCAAAAAAAGGATTAAAACCTCTTTATTTTACCAAGAGGGAAAAATGATGTGGTGTCAGGAGCACACGGACAAAGACACAATAACAAAACAACAAAAGAAAAGATTAAATAATTTCCTAATTACCATGTTCCAACATGTGAAGACAATGTGCAAACTATGTCACCCCTCCTCATAGATATGACGCACCAGTGCACCAAGTTCTCCGGCCACTGGAAGGTAAGTAGGGCATTATGCTGCTTCATTAGTTTGCTAATGTTATGGAGGACCAGAATATTGAAACCATGATCCTGGTGAAAATGATGACCTATGTAATAGTCTCATAACAATAATATAAGAATAATGTAATAATAATTAACAGCAATAACACATTATAACAGTGATGACCATTTAATAATGTGTAACATACTAATAGCCATGCGGATTATAACTGGTAATAGACATGAAATAATAATAATGTTTTTTTGGCCTGTAATAACCATGTAATAGCATGTAACAAGTAGTAAGGGATAACCTTGGAGACCCCGTAATAACATGGAAGTTTTTGCTGATGTCATGGAGGACCTGGTTATTGGAACCTCAGCTTGTACATTACAAATGAAAAATGATGACAATGATGATGATGATGACGATGACGATGATGATGATGGTGGCGAAGGTGATGATGATGTGGCCGCGCGCCCGCGCAGATCATCGTGTTCGACGAGGAATGCTTCCAGGGTCGCCGCCACGAGTTCACGTCGGAGTGCACCAACGTGATGGAGTTGGGCTTCGAGACGGTGCGCTCGCTGCGCGTGGAGAGTGGCGCGTGAGTGCGCGCGCACACGCACGTCACAGGCACACACGGGCACCCGCGCTGACGGCCTCCCCGTTTGCTGTCTTGCAGCTGGGTGGGCTATGAGCACGCCTCCTTCCAAGGCCAACAGTTCGTCCTGGAGCGCGGCGAGTACCCGCAGTGCGACGCCTTCGGGGGAAGCAACGCGTATCACATCGAGAGGTTGACCTCCTTCAGGCCCATCGCCTGCGCGGTGAGTGCCCGCCGACGCCCCCCAACCTTCCACAACAGCCCAGTCTGAGTGTGCGTTGTGTTCGTTAGAACCATCGAGAGTGTCGCATGACCATCTTCGAGCGTGAGAACTTCCTGGCTCGGAAGGGCGAGCTGAGCGACGACTACCCATCCCTGCAAGCCATGGGCTGGTGCAACAATGAAGTGGGCTCCCTCAAGGTCCAGTCTGGAGCGTGAGTTACACCCCCCC